TAACGTCGGACCATATGCTAAAATCATTCTCTAAGAGAGCAAACATAATTATTTAACATCTATTTGGGCTCTTGCAGATCATGCTTCACCATGACATCCAGAAATCTCATGCTTCAAGATATACTTACCCACACGGCCCCACTTTTGATGGTTCGATGACTTTAATTTTACCACAGAGGGCCATCTGAAATCAGAAGTACAGTGAGTGATGCAGAGTAGCAGCAGTGAGAACATCTATCACAACACCCCAGCATTTTATTTCAGAAGAGAGGACTAGAGTTCCCTTCAGCCTAATTATCTTAATTTTGCATGTAATAACACTATGGTCATCTGCGTTCCATTGACATCCTTTAGTTCTTCTGTAGGACATGTCTAGAGGGGATGAAAATTTAAGGCAGCGGAAAGCTGTTATGGATTGAATTATCTCCTCACCCAAATTTATACATTGCAACCCTAATCCCCAATGTGACCGTGTTTGGAGATAGGGCCTTCAGAAGGTAATTAAAATGAAATGAGGTCATAAGTGTGTGGGGGGGAGCTAAACCTATAGAATAGGTATACTTATAAAAAGAGGAAGAGATACAGGATCTCCCTCTCCCGAGAAGTGAGCCCTCACTAGACACCAACCCTGCTGCCATCTTGATCTTGGACTTCCAGTCTCCAGAACTGAGAAAATAAATCTCCGTTTTTTAAGCCACACAGTCCGTGATATTCTATTATGGCAGCCTAAGCTGACTAATACATAGCAGACTAGAAGCAGGTGAGAAAGTTTCTAGGTGAGACAGTTTTCAAGACAAGAAATAATGTGAATTAACAGCAGAGGGCAGAGAAAGCCATTAGGTGAACAGAAAAAAAAAAAAAATCAATAATCCTAGCTTCTGAGATTCTTTAGATCAGGGAAATAAACTCCCTTGAGTTTATACCTGGTTATAACTTCCAAGAGCTTTACTTTATTAGAGCATCAAAAAACGATTCATATTCAGAAGGTTGGGTTGGTTCAATTACATATACTATGTACTAAGACAGAATGTGAGCAATATAATTTTAAAAGATTACTTAAAATATCAAGCTCAAATTACTTGGGAAAAAAATTACTTTTCCTGATCCCTCTTCCTCTCCTTCCAATGAATAGTCTGAATTACTGAGGTGACACTCTAATACTAATATTTTTTATCCATTAAGACCAGTATTTCTTAATTTGGCCATAGAAAAATAATCACAATAAAAATAAATAATTAAAACTTATGAGATCACAAAGTTCTTATTGCTACATATTAATATTAAGTATAGATACTATTTCTTTTAAAAAAGGAAACATATTTTCCTTTTATTCATATATAGGGGTAATGTGTACATATATACAGTGTATATGTATAATATATATTATATATAAACATAACCATGTGTACATAAAGACAAGTAGTCCTCACTTTGTACAGTAGCGCAGGACCATAAAAATGACCATGTGAGCTGAAACCATGCAAAGTGATCTTACTAAGCAATGGAAAAAATTACAACTAATCTCTTACTGACAGTTTTAAATGATAAAAAAATGAAAAAAAAATCTGTTAATATTTATTCAGTATGCTGTAATTCAAAATAGAAACATTAAGAATTAAAGCTTTTATTTCTCTGTAAAAATTTTATCAGGGGTAGTTTTGTTATGGACTGAAACTTTGTGTCCCCTCAAATTCATATGTTGAAGCTCTAATCCCCAATGTGATGGCATTTGGATGTGGGACCTTTGGGAGTTATTTAAGTTTAGATGAGGTCATGAGGGTGGGCCTTCAAGATGGGATTAATGTCCTTCTAAGAAGAAGAAGAAACCAGAGCTCTTTCTTTCTCCATGTGAGTACACATTGAGAAAGCAGCTGTCTGCAAGCTAGAAAGAGGGCCCTAACCGGAACCTGACCATGCTGCGGGCACCCTGATTTCAGACTTCCCAGCCTCCAGATCTGTGAGAACTAAACATCTGTTATTTAAGCCAGTCAGTCTACAGTATTTTGTTATAGTAGCCCAAGCTGACTAAGACAAGTTTGAACAGTGTTTGCCACCTTATTCTTGTCATATAACTTAGGATATGGGGGAAGTATCTTTTCCTTGCCTTGGCTAATTATCACACTCCTTTCTAATTCGGATCAGCTACCAATGTTTCATCTTTTGCACTTTCAGAGTTGTGAAATATTTCCAAGACCTCCTTTAAGGTGAAGTGTTTCTTTGTTTGTTAGAATCACTTCCTCTAAAACACCTTCATTTTTTCATCACAGCACTTCCTCATTGACATCAATAAGGTCACTTTCACTGTTTCCCTGGCTGCATTTCTGGAGTGTCTCAGATGGTAGTGGCATGGTCAGCTATGCATTCTGTGACTCTATTTATGTTCAATTTGAATTTCATTTTCATCATTATTTTGGCTTTATTGCCTTTTTTTCTCTGCTGCAGTTCCATCTTTGTTAACCAGATCCTCTTTAAGTTATGTGTTTTTGTAAAATGTCAAGTGAATTTATCACTGGGAAACAAGGAGTCAACACAATTACATGCTTTGCTGTCTGTGCATGAACAAATGTGCAGTGACCAATCACTGGCAGACTCTGAAAGAAGTGACACGATTGATCACTGATCCTATGTGCATGTGTTATTCTTATAATGATTTGTAGACTGAGGGGCTGGTAGCAAAGTTTGTATGCTGTACAATTACTCACAGTTATTATACTAGTAACTAAAATTTGAACCCTATTGTTGGGGGAGTGGTGTTATTTAACAAAACCATGGTAACTGAAATTTGTGAAAATTGAAATTGCACAAAGCAAGTGCACACACACACACACACACACACAAAACATATATATAATCAGTGTATCAAACCTCATCTTATATTTAGTTACTTTTCTATTCTTTCTGCCTTGATGTTTTTTCTCCTTCTCTATTTTATTTTTTTTGGTAAAATTATGTTGTCTTCCTTTGTTATTGCCTACAGCAGAAGACCTATGAAGTCTGTCTATAAGCAAATCTTCAGCAAGTCCCCCATTGCTGTCAGTTAAGTACTAGATAGACAGTTCTCTACCCAGTCTATCACAAAGTCTATCATTTTGGGGATATAGTTGGTGACTGGTGAGGTGGCCATCCTTCTTCAGATATAACAAGCTTGTTTTCTATTGTCATTTGTGGGTTTCTCATGCTTATCAGAGTAAATCAGTACTCAACAAGTTGAGAAACTCAACTCAGGGCGGCACTGGGGCATATTTTTAAGGTGCAGCCGCAGTAAAAGTTTGTGGAAGATTGAATGCAGAAATGGACCTTGTCTGCTGCCCATCTCTGTGTCCACTCCTTTGAAATGTGACTTTGCAGCTCCTCCTTGACTCCTTGAATCCGGCTGGCCTTGGGACTTGCTTTGGCCGACTGAATGAACTGGCCAGGTGACAATGTGCCGGTGCCTTTTATGCTTCTGCTGTCTGTGGGCCCACTCTGCTAAGGAGCCAGGCCAGTCGGATGGAGTCTGAGAGACCACATAGAGAAAAGTTCAGTTGTCCCAAGCTGTCTCAAGTAGAGCCGTCCTAGACCAGTGTACAAATGACTCCCACATGTGTGAGCAAGTCCAGCTAAGATTAGCCAGACCTTCCAACTTGACCACAGCTTCACGGCTGCATTCAGCTCAGATCAGAAAAATGATTCAGCTGAGCTGTAGAGTTGTGAGGGATAGTAAATGCTTATTATTATATGGCATTTTAGGGCTTCTTAACTTTAGCAATAGTTAAATAATACAATGTTGTTTATGGAGGTGATTTTTTTTTTTTAAATCTTAGCTGTTGCTGTAATCTATAAAAATGTCCTCTGCTTTAGTCCTCAGAGTAGGTAGCAGGTCCACACCAGGCCAGGCCTCCCACTTTGAAACGAACTCTTAAGAGCTCTATCTCACTATTTTGGAAAAGTTTTCCTTTTTTAAAAAAATTTCAATTAAAAATGCACCTTTTTTTTTTTTTTTTACTCCTGAGAAGAAAAAAAAAAAAATTACCCCCATTTCTATAGCAATAGTGTTTCAGTAAAAATGGCAACAGGTTTATAAATGTAATAATGTGAAGGAAAGGTGTCTGTTAGTATCACACCCCAAAGAATGACATCTTTGAGACATGAACTGTGAGTTTTCATCTGAATGCTGGAGGTGGTTGTGTGTCCACCCAGCTATATGTTCTTGTCTGCCTTCTTGTGAACAAGACCACAGATTTGAAAGATGGCAGTTCGAGTTTATAATTTAGATCCTATGATCCTTGGGGGGAGCAGCCTTATTTTTATTAATCGTTGACCATGTCCTAAGGCTCTATCAGACCAAAAATCAGCTAGAAGGGTACTTCAAAAAGTTCGTGGAAAAATAGAATTGCAAGATAATACAATTTTTTCCATGAGCTTTTTGAGGTACATTTGTGTAATCTTAAGGCAAAAGGAAAGCGAAAAAGAACTTGAATACTCTTATTTTTCTTCTTAGGAGAGATACATTCACTTAAAGTATGGACAAAATTTCCTTAATTGATATTTTAAAAGAATCATAATTACCAAAATTCACTAGACAGCTCATGCCTGGCAAATTGTGAGAAAATCAATGTTTGCAAAGTATAAATAGAACTATTTGGTAAATGTCCAGGGCAAAGTTTTAGAACATTTAATCAAAGTTTAGTAAACCCTAGATACAGGAGCAAGATAATTTACATCCATCCTTTAGTGCTTTGCTCATACATAGGAGGTAGATTATATAGTGGATCATACACCTGCTCAGTGTCCCAAATAATTTCCAGGGGGTGTGATTTACAAATAAAAAGTTTGGTAAGATCGCATAGGACCCATGAGATGCAAAAGTTCACTTAGCTGTCCAAAGAACTGATCTGACCCATCGTGATCCATTCCAAATCACTCTTCAGTCACTCTGAGAATTACAACTTCCACGCACATTAACAAGCATTCCTCCACCCTCAATAAAGACCAATTTATGGAAAAAAAATCAAAATTCATTTTTTTAAATTTAATTTTTAAAATTTTATTTGAAAAATACAATACACAGCAGAGAATTATTTCCTCCCCTACTGCTCTTCCACAAAGAAAACGTACGGTAAATATAACTGAGATATTTGGCTAGGATAGATCCTGAGAAAAGAGAGGCCCAGTTAAAAGTGGAATAGACAAAGTCTGTCAAAGAAGTTTCACCTCTCTTTTAACATAAAAGAGCCTTTTAAGTTTCTTAGGAATCAGATAAAACATGTGCAGAATTTCTGCCATGCAAACAGAGACTACTGAAATTTTCAGGTTGACCAATTTATACTGACCTGGGCCCCAAGTAAGTAGACTAAAATGGAGATGTCTTTATCAGAAAGATATGTGTTTGTTTGCTTCTACTAGACTATGTTTGTACATATTTACACAATATTTTCTTATTTGTGTTTTTCATTATTCTCAGTAACAGCATCATGGTTAAGGGCTCTTTGCTGGCTTTTGCCTTATTCACATGTATGAGGGGTCTTCAAAGAGTTCATGAAAAGATTCCTATTTTCTTAATTCTGTTTTCCACAAATTTTTTGAAGTACCCTCATATCTTCTTTTTTTTTTTTTTCTTTCTGAATTTTCTTCACGACAGGATCATTCATTACACAACGGTGGGGCCATGATGTTTAAATATTAGAGATGATCTTACTCTGATCCTGGGTTAAGTCTGGGTTTTTGAGGAATTTATAACTCCTGCATACAGACCAGGTTTAGCAAGGTGCAAAGATACAACACAGACAGACTAATATACAGCCAAGGCTTCCAACAGGAAAGACATTCCTGCTTGGTTCCTTGGAAAAATGATGTAGAACCAATAGAAATGATCAAACTCTAGAATACTTACTGGTAATCCTGCCTTTTAAGACATTATGATCATCTCCCACTTCCATTCCTAGTGAGTAAATCCTCCATTGCTGTTATTGCCTAAAAAAGCCTTTGAAGAGAATCAAGGCATTGAAAGCTTTTTCATAGTCTAAATTTCCAACAGAATTGAATTGCTGTAGAGGTCTGAAATTGGTGGAAACATGGCTTTTCTGTTTCTGGCCCTAGTAGAAGTGACATGTGACATCTATTCTGGGAATAATGGACAAGTCTTTGGTTATATTTATTTGCTTATTTCTGTTGAAATTATAGAGAAAACTAAAAGTTTACTTTCTTTAATACTGTCAAAGCTAGAAAGATTCATTTGAGTTAATTAACTACTGCTCATGGAAGCCAAAGTTACTTAGAGTAGCTTTAAAGATTGCAAAGTTATTGTTGAGGAGCTCCCCTTCCTTATACTATGGTGATTTTCATTCTTAATTCCACATGCTCAATGTAAGGTATGTCCCTCTGGCCCTCTGCTGAGTGGAGGTCTGGGCCCTGGGGGTGAGGACAGATGGAGAAACATTTGATTGAGGCTTCGCTTTTACAAAGGGCCTCAGTTCTTATCTTGACATTAATTATTTTAAAAATAGAATTATAAATAGGTTACTATCTAGTTGTATATTTGAGAAGTATTCATTCTTAAAGAGTAAACATTTAAAATACAGCAGAGCTTTTGTAACTCTATTTTTGCATTTCTTTATTTTTTAAAACATAGGTAGTTGCTCAGGGCTACTGACCTCTGAAAGCCTGGGTGTCCAATATGCAGCTGTGGTATATTTGAAAGGGTCAGAAAACCTTTACTTAAGTGTTAACTCTGCCTCTTACTAGTTGTGTGGGATTGGGCATGTTTTTACCCTGTCTTGGCTTCAATTTTCTCATCTATAGAATAAAGCCATACTCAACATTTACATGGGGTTAATTGTGAAGCTGAAATAAAATAATAAATGTAATTGAACTTTGTAACTATAAAGTACTACACAAATGCAAAGGTAAATACATTGACCACATTTCTAGTATTTATATAATTTAAATTATGTGTCAGGGTATGGTTCTTTTCCATTTAAATTATGTGGAATCTTGACTAGTAAAAAAGCCCAAGAATGGAGCCTTTGACTAGTCTTGAGACACTGTTACCAATGGAAAATTATTGAATAATTAGATACCATTGCTGGATTTACTCATTTAAACTATCCTAAATACTGCCTGCATTCAAAAACTGCAAGTAAACAATTAAACCACAACTGTCAGGAGAAAAAGTCCAAATAAATATTTTTTAATTATGATACATTACTTATTACAGTAAAAATTGGCATTTTCCCCTTCAAAAGCAGAAGCACCAGTCTTAGAATGTATAGTATGAATGATATTTTAAGTGAAATATAGCATAATATAATGTGCAAACATTAATTTAGTATAGAACTTACTTTTTAAAAGTAAAGTAACTTCACACACTGAAACCTGTTAAAATGGAAATAATGTCATGCTGAATAATAAAGTAAAAGCCCCCATGACTTTCAAAATCCACTTCAAATTAAATATGGCATACTGCTGAATAGATATATGAAAAATTAAAAAGCTTCACTAGCCCCAAATAGAGAGTTTTCTTATACAAATGAGATTCCCGCAGAGGTTTCTTTTCACACAGTTGCAGTGGTTCTGTGAGAAACTAAAGTGAATGTTTTATTTAAGAATTAATTTGTTCATATGGCCATCACATTTTTATTGAACACCTACTTTGTGCTAAGTTTTGTTGTAGGTGCTGGGGATACAAAGAAGAAAGACACAGTCCTGCCCTGGAGGAGCTCACAGTCTAGTGGGGGAAACAGATAGGTTGACATTGATTTTAAAATTATAAAAATTATTAGACAGCTTTATAAACTTCTTTTATAATCAAACAAACTTTGGGTGTTATGGATGGATGGTAAAAAGAGATGATGTCCAGTGCAGTGAAAAACCATCTGCTTCAATATCATGTGACTTCCGCGAAGGCGGTGATGTGGTTCTGCAAAAAGAAAAAGGAAGTACAAAGTCAGAGTCTTGGGGAAATTGGCTTTGTAAAATATTTAGTGCCTTTACAAATAACTATTAGCCTAATATAAAATTGTAGCTTGTATATATTTAAATTGCCAAAACATACAGCATTATTAAACTAAGTTCTGTGTATTATTACACAATTTTAGCTGTTTATATGTTTTGTTCGATGTTTTTAATTGACCAAATACACTAAAATGTTGTACCTGCTTTATTCAAAATTGACACTAAAATCTGGAGAGATAAAAATGGCAATGCCAGACATGGTAATATTCTGTTCAGTGTTAATGGAATTTTAATACTGCATGTTGGAGTTTCAGATTAATTGCTCCCTGTGAGACAGATGGTGTACAATGAGGTGGTGAAATGCTCAGACAGAAATGGCATTTGCTAGTTGACAAAAATCTACTTAAACACTTCATTTTTAATGTATGAATCCAGACTCCAGACTGCCATCTCTGTTGTTTACCTCAACCATAGTATTCTTCACAGAGCTTTTTTCTTTTTTAAAAAAGTAACAGGATTATGTACAAAGAAACCCTGTGGAATGGCTAATATTTGAATACTTTCAGGCATACAACGGGCCATGTCATGGCTGATGAAATATGCAGTGAAAAAATGATATTACATAATTAATCATGTCACATATGGGATTATTTCAAGATTTAACATGAGTGACAGTCCTAACCAATAACAGCAACATGATAAAAGGATTCTATCACATTACCTGCTTTGAATGTTTTTCATAGTAGTTTTTGCATTGGTTCTTTATAATACAATAATATTATGAACAGAATTTCATATAATGAATGCATGTCATGAAATTTCTTCAATGTACATGTAGCTCAAGTTAAAGTGTTTTAACTACTTAAGACATTTAAAATGTGTGTGAAAAAATTAAAATCCATTTTTATTGAATTTAGGTATAGTAAACCACAACTACAAGAACATCATTGCCTACAGTTTGGGGCATTATTTTCCAGGCTTAACCACTTAATGTGAGAGAAAAACAATATTAGTGAGAATCAGCAGTGAGCAGAGCATGCTGACTTTTTCACTAACTCCTGACAATACCTTAGAAATTTTAATATCTCATTAAAAAATTCATGATGAAAATGTTGGGAGATTCAGCAGCTCCTCTCAAAGGTTTCTTGAGTTTTCTTTAGAAAAGTGCAAGCATGACTTTAAGATAAAAAAGACTTGTCAGAGTTATGTAATGCACTATGATTGAATTAAAAACATAAGAACTACAGAAACAATACATCACAGTTTCATGCCCAGTGGTCCCATGGGATTTGAAATCAGTGAGCTGAGAAAATACAATTTTATAGAGAGTGTTTCAGTGTTAAACTGACATGGTGTCACACTTCTGGACAGGACCTAGCACAAAATAATTGCTAGAGAGGAGTTAAGATAGAAACGGAAGATTAATCAGTCAGTGGCAACCGGTGGGTAGGGAAAGGGTGAAGAAGGAGCAGCAGAGAAAGAGGAAAGAAGGTAACAATGAAGAGAAAACAGATGGCGTTTCAAAAGGCCATTAGCCTTGACCTCAGTGTTCCCGTCGTTGACCCAGATCATGAAGGGTCCACAAGGCTCATTAAATTCGCTGAAGGTGATACTAAGTGAAGGGGACAACCATCACACTGGAAGGTAGAATTAAATATTAAAAGACCTTAATAAAGCAGAGAAATGATCTGAAACAAACAACTGGTGATCAATGAAAAGCTTGACAGGAGCTGAGGAAGTGCCCAGTGCAAGCTGGAGAGAGTGACAAAGAAGGTGCAATTACTGCAGGGTGACCGTACAGGTTAGCATCTAAACCTGGACATGTGGAAGAGGATGCGGGTACTAATAACACACTGGGACAAAAGGCTTAAATCAGGATGGTCCCAAATAGGGATGCAAGTGCATGGTTTAAATGTGTACCCCCAAAAGCATGTGTTGGAAATTTAATCCCCAATGCAACAGTGTTAGGAGGTGGGGCCTAATGAGAGATTAGGCTGTGAAGGCTCTGCCCTCATAAATGGATTAATGCCATTATCATGAGAGTGAGTTTGTTATTTTGGGAGTGGGTTCCTTTTGGGAGTTTGGTCCCCTTTTCTCTCTTTTTTTCTCTCTCTTTCACCCTCTCTCAGTCCCTTGATTTTGGACTTCCCAGCCTCCAGAACCATGAGCCAATAAATTTCTGTTCATTAAAAATCCCCTGGTCTGTGGTATTCTATTATAGCAGCATGAAACAGATTAAGACACCTTAGTAATGAAGCATTGAACGTGTAACTTTGTGTGCTGTTGAGATCTAGAAAATACTGGAATTTAAAATACTTGGCATTTAAAAGCACATGCTTCAGTGGCCTATAGATCTTCCTTTTGCTGTTCATAAATTCCAAACCATATTACCCTTTTCCTTATGCCAAGTCATTACCAAGTTAAACCACAAGGATAACAGTTTGTTTCCAGATTAACTACACTTTTAGATCCCAGGGTTCTGGGGGAAACTCTTGCTATTTCATTTTTCTTCCCTAATTAGCACCCTTTCCATTTCACATCATGCTTAAGTTTTAACCTCTGAGATAGTTTTTCCTATTTGACTGGAATTAGAAGGATCCTGCTCAGGGCTTATGTTTTTAAGGTGCTTGTGTTTAACGGAGAGATAGACAGATGAAAATAAAATATTAAAGTGACTGTGCATAGAGAAGAGAAAATTAAGGGTAAATTTAATAATAGATTCTAAGCACACAAAAGGAGTGCACAGAGAGGACAGGGACCTCCTGTTCATTTACTTCACTGTCTACCAGCAAATGAACCTATAGCATAAATGAGGAACACAGATTATTTGTTTCAGTAGGCTTTACAAAACAACATTAGTTCTCTTCTAGCATAGGAGTGATTTTCTCTTAAAGAATCTAGAGAAGGGACAAAATAATTACTTAAAAGTCCTTCCCATCTATAAGCCTCTATGATTCTATATAATACAACTTACATGAACAAGATATGCAAATGAATAATTTGAAATATACAGATGGCATAATTCCAATGCAAGAAGTTATGATATCGCTCAATTCCCTGTCAGCATTTTTCTCAGTAATATAAAAAACCAGAATGGCATTTAATATCTTCAGATCCCCCTTGAGAAATGGACTCCCTATGAGGCTAACTAGCTGACAAAGGATTTTTCCTTTTAATCTGGCTGAATTCCTAATATGCAACACTAAATCTTATTAGCAGATGAGAATGCAAACAAGCAATAGGCAAACCAAAAACTCATGCATAAAAGTTTAATTCAGAGTTTCAAGAAAAAAGCGGTCATATAATGTATCAGCTCAACTCCTGATAACTTCTGCAATTACACACACAGAGGCTTATAGTGGAGATGACAGAGCTTGAGTCCAAATAGTTGCTACATGAAGCATTCATTAGAAAGTGTTCATGCAAGTCCACGGCAAACCAGCAAGCAAAATATTAAGTCTAGTCCTTGAGTGCAGGGGTCCCATGGGAAAACAAGCACTTTGTTTCTGAAAAGTTGTTTTAGATTCTTAAATTTGGTAAATTCTAAAGTTTATAGCATGTCCATTTTAAAAGCTCTAAGTTTTAAATGAAAATCTCTATGTTACTATTTGCTCTATAACTCCATTTATAGAAATTATACTCTGTAATTTTTTAAAAACGTTATTTAAAACAAAACTGTCATTTATTTATGACATGTAAATTTGGAGATGTCTTGCCACCTGACAAGACTCAACATTTCTCTTTGAAGAAAATAGAAAAATGCAAAAAGAGCACTCTAGGGAATTGTTCAGAATTAAAGCTATAGAAAAACAATCCCCCACCCCCCAAATGCCATTATTAAGGGCTATCTAATTAAGGAATGCTAAATTCCCATTAATGAGTAAAAAAAATCAGTGAAAAATAGAATGTATTTGAAAGATTAGTAATAATAACCACAAGCTCTAGTTTCGAGATCTATTTTGGTTGTAAGGGAAAACTGCACAGAAGGACACATTTTTCTTTATTTGCCTTAGCTTTGCAACCCAACTCCAACACCAGTGCGCTGCAGCGCACATACGTTTATTGCCTTAATTGAAGGTGTTCACACTGGCTTATTCCCACTATCCAGCTGAAGAGCCTGGCAAGACAGTCTTTAAAGGACCCTTCCTGTGAATTGTCTTCTTGATCATTCTCAATAGGTTGGTTTTGAGACACCTACAAAATGTGTTTTACATATTGCTTAAATGTTTATTTAAATATTGACTTAACTTACTTAAAGTCCTAGTTTACTTAACGTCCTGCAAGGGTACTTCAAAAAATTTCTGAAACAATGGAATGAAAAGATAACATGAATCTTTCCATGAACTTTTTGAAGACCATTCATATGTTGTTATATTGTTAGAACAAACAGTGAAATTAAACATTGTTTTAGTTCCTCTCTTTCAAGATGATTGATTATAAAAAAGATTTTGTGTTTTAATAGGAAGTTGTCAACAATCGACTTAGGTTTTTAACATAAACGTAAAATGGGATCCATGGACATGATGCCTTTAATTCAACGACTTATGTCTTCGGCTCTTGTGGTGAGGAAGCTTTGTGGTACAGTGGACTTCGTAGTCAAGGAGACTGAGTGTCAAGTATTTGAATGCGGGCTCCGTCACAACTAAATTTTCACAAGCAATCTAATCTTTCCAAGACCCAACTTTTTCACCTGAGAAATGGGATAATAATACCTACTTGAATGGATTTGTATTAAGATTAAATGAAATTATAAACAAAATGGTCCTCAAACATATTCAGCATTCATTTATATTTGCTTATAAAAGCCACACAAACAAGCTAAAAAGGAAACTTAGAAAGAAAAAAATAAAAGAAAGAGGAATTTTTTTATAATTGGTTGGAATTTTACAAATAGAACTCACCATTTGTTTATTTCACTATAAAGTAGACAATTCTACCAATCTACAATTCTAATATCCAAACAAA